TTGGAAAGTGTTTGAAGGTATTTGGTCACAAACCAAAGTAGTGGACAGATTGAATTTATGACCTCTGGATTAAAAGTTAGGTTATACACTTCATTCTTTGTGGGACATGTCTAGACAAAATTGTATGGGAATCCATAAGATCCACAAAACCACAAATGTCAACCTCATTGGCGCTAGATGAAACGTCAGAGGAAAGTCAGTAGGATTCCTCCTCTGGGGTCCATGAATGTCCGATCAAAATTTAGCAGCGATCCATTCAGTATTTGGATTCATTTTGGACGTAAGAATCGGACCGACTGACTGACGTTGTCATCCCTCGAGCCGCACCACTGGTTTGTCCAAAAACCAGGAGGCAGTGAACACTTTAAGTGAACTTGACTCTAAACAGCATTGTTCTGTTTGGGCTCTTCAGATCCTGGCTCTGGCTTTTTAATAACCCATGTCGTTGTAGGGAGTTAAATGAACAGGCCTCAGCCAGCCAGTCACTTAGCTGTCGTCTCCGCTTGATGATGACATGAATCACTAACTCGGCCCAGAGATGGAGATTTCAGGGCCGCGTGGCCAGCCATCGTGGAAACGACCCCCCCTCCAGCCTCTTTATCGCAGAGATTTTGAGTGAGCCAAATTGTCCATAAATTTGGGACATGGAGTCATAAATGTCAGGAAGAGGGAGGAAAACAGACAGACAAATTCCTCCAGCATGATGGCAGTGCTAATGATTACTGCCATGAGTGTGGGAGAAGGGAGAGAGAGAGAGAGAGGCTGGGATGAAGTGATGCTTAAAGAGTGTTGACGACAGATTGAAAGAGCAAGACTGGAAGAAAACAGAAAAATAAGGATAAAAGAAACACAAAGGGAGGCGGTGGGGTGGATGAGGAATGAAGACCAATGTGTGTGACTTAATTACTAATGGAAGGAAAGGGGAGAGAGAGATGAAGAAAGGTGCTGGTCAGACGGAGGGAGGCTAATGGTCATAGTGAAACTCACTGCAGGAAATTACATCTACCTTCAAAACAGAATTGACAAGCGCTGGCTGTCGGGTGTCATCAACAACAGTAGCTGTGGATAACAGCTTGTATTTTGCTATTTACATAAAAGAGCAACAAAATCTCTGGTTTTTGGCCGTGAGCTCATCAGCTTATTACCGAGTGATTTTATGTGTAGCTTTTCAAAATGATGCTCGAGTCTGTTCCCATCATCCAAAATTGTAGCAATTGTTCTAAGCAATTTCCAAATGTACCAAACTTTATCGTACATGTAATTTCCATTTCCATTTGTTGTAATGGTGCAGCATTAAAAACACATTTTTTTTGTTTTGTTTTGTTTAAATGATTCACTTCCTATTTAAGCATTATATAACTGGAATAGAGTGTCGGAACAAAGCAAAGCATGTGAGGTGAAAGGGACAGGTGCATGAAGACAACAGGAAGTGAGTTATTGTTTGTCCTGTTTATGTGTTTATGTGTGTACTGTCCTGTCTGTGCAGCAGGTCATTATGACCTATAGTTACGTTTTGTTGCTAGGCGACATCTGGTGGTCGTAGTTATTATGACAGGAGCAAATGGAAAAATGTGGGTGACGTAGGTGAAGAGAGACAAATTCTATGGACACAGGAATATTGACACAGGAGAGCGGTGTTCGATTCCCATGTGACAATAGGTCTTTATGTTGTTTCTATTATCCATGATCGTTGGACAAAGTTAACCATGTGTTTGTTATTGTAACCATGACAACAAAGATTGTCTAATCTTAAGGAAGTACTTATTTTAACTCAAACCTCTGTCTTTTCCTGAACCTAAAGTAGTTTTTGTTTTTTGTTTTTGTTTTTAAGTTTTGCTATTGCTACATAGCTAACATTAGCATTAACAACTGTTTACTTCAGCATACTTCAGCAGAGTTCAGCATCAAACTTCATTCCTTTACTCACCAACAGCTGTCTCCGGAGCTCTTGTCTCTATCACATCTTTTCCTCTACTAAAGTTAGCATGCTAACCAGCTAGCCCCGGCCTGCCTCGTCACTTTCCCATAGCAACTCACTGTAGCCTCCGATCTGACCTGAAGACGTAGCGCTGCTCAGAGGACGTATTATAACCCTTTGTCTTGTAAACGCAAGGATGACCAAAGCTCTTGTCAAGCGACAATCGCTGCCACCCTCTCCTGTTAAGAAACCGCGTTTGGTGGAAGAGAAAACGTACAAATAGCCCCTTTAAAGCATGTCTCTAAGAACACAGAAAAGAGATCTTTCTTTTTCTTCAGGTGAAGTAAAAGTATATGCAGCACACTTGTATCCTTTATCTTTTTTTGTCCTTCAAACAATGAACTTTTGCAAATTCATCTCAGTGTAGTTTTTAATGCTTTATGAAGATCAGTAGAGGTGAAATCAAACAAGCACTAAAAAACAGAGCAGCTGAGGAATGTACCCAGTAAACAGTAATAACAAAGTTAACGTTACCCTACTCATTTAGCCTCATGTCAGTACAGAGAGGAAGAGCAGCTACAGAAAGAGATGAGGGAGGAACAAGAGATGCAGAAACAGACAGGAACACACAGAGACAGAAAACTCTTGAGAGGGAACGAGACAACCCCCGACTCGCTAGTCCAGAAGAGAGAGATCAGACATACACAAAGAGAAGGCTGGAGAGAGACAGACCATTGTGTCATCTGGGATCACTGAGCACTGTAATAGGCTTGAGTCTCGTCAGTTGGGCCCAGCTCAGGTCGGCTTGGCTGCAGATTTCCTCGCTGTCTCCCTGCCAACAACAGCACATGGGAATATGATTCTCCAGCAGACCAACAATCCTAGAAGGTCTCACTTAGCTGGGTTTCGGGAGAAAAAGAAATAATAGGTTCAACTTTCCCAGAGGCTTCACACTGGCATGATATTTGCCCATTGGTTCATAATGGAACCAAAATGATCTTAACAACATAACACTCTTGGCAAACCAGGCACAGTGTACACGTCTTCTGTGCCAACATTAGTCTCAGTGTAATTTACTCTTTTATTTTTTTTTGGGTGAATCACACACTCACACATTTGAAATCACAACCGTTTTATTTTCATTTCTCTTTTCATCTTGGCAGGGGTAGTAGATGTCCACGTGTCTAGGAGCTGTTCTGACGAAGGTGCTAAAATTTCCTTCCGAATAGCAAAGAGCAAAGAGTTTTCACTTGCAATAAAAGCTAAAGCTGCTAAGTGCCAAAACAATAACCATGCATTGATTTTTTATTTATTCTTTTTTTAGATTATACTTAAGTGCCTTTCTCTTGTTGATGTTCATTGTGTTTCAACCAGAAACACAGGACAGCAAAGTGCATGAACAAGATGCTGTCAGCAAAATACAGACACAACACAATCCTCCTCTCACAAATGAAAAGGTGAAGTCGTTCATTAATAAAACATACTTGCTCAGTTCAACACACTCAGGGTTTTTTTTACTGCTACAATCTTTGCTACAGCCTAGTTCAACTTTGTTGCACAGTTGCAGCATCTCTACTTATTATAACTTAACCGGATCGACCGTAATCATTGGATAAGTGCAGCAGTACATTCCTGCATTACCAAACTGAGAGTCTGAAGGAGATGGACAGGAAAAGCCAAATGAAAAGATGCTACTCGCTGCATTATGGGAAAATGTAGGATCCGGTGTTTGTCGACATATTCTTGAGGGTAACGCTTCATTCACACGCTGTCAGGTAGAATGGGAAGAACAGAAAGCAAAACATCCATTATTTCAACTTGGGGCGAGTTTATGCGTCATTCCAAGATGGTTAGCCCCACTGCTAACCATGTAGCCATGAACAGCGCCACACGTTTGTAGCAGTTCGAAACCATGTGACACTACAAACGCCGGAGTCGGAGGCTGACTTGAACAGTTTTTCCATAATTACAGTTTAAATGATATTATACGAGATTTTTGACTGTTCTGTTTTCTCTTATCTCATGTGAGTCTTCTCTATGGAAGTGAAATACTAAACTGCTAGAGTGAACCTTTTATTATTCATTTTGCATAAAGGTTATCAATTACTGGGGCGTTTTATGGCTCTAACCACAACATGCAAACCTGTGTTTCAACAACAGTTTGATTTCAGCTGGCTATCACCTCTAAAAAAAAAGACATTTAGATAATATGGTATTCATGTAGGTCAAGGGGATGAAAATATGTTTTTGTTTTCAATAGATCATTAAAGTGTTTCTTTTTGTTTCTATGTTGAAATCACTCCACTTTATGTCCATGCTCTCCGCCATTACACGAGTCTTTCAAAATCCCAATGATTCAGAGGCTTTGATGATTTTAATATGTTGTTGGAAGTGGCAGAGGTGATGTTAGGTTGGCATGAAATGAAATGATGAAATCACAAATCTATTCACATCAAACCTTCCTTTCTGTGTCTGTTTGGTTTTGACATAAACTTGCTATGACAGCTGCAGAATCTGGTGTGAATTATATCCATAACCTGTTTTAAGGCTCTGGAGCGTTTCACCACACGCTCTCATTCATTCGCTCGTCTATTCAACTTGTGATTATGGGTTTTTCTCCGTTGTTTGGTCTTTTGAAGAAAGAATTACAGCTTTAATGAAAATGCCCATCTGTATGTGACACCATATTGTCAATCACCGGATGACTGGTGTTTCTAAATAATAGTGTTTCCAAATGTTGCAAATGCTGCTGCCGTGAATATGATGAGCTTGTAATGGTGAGGTGAATGAGTCTAACTGCAGATTGAAGTGCAGGTGTTTACTTTGTAATGGCAATTCATTAGAACATAACAGCTTTTTTTGTATTCTAATTACACATGAAACTCCCCCCAGTTCCTCAGTCATTATCTACGAATGCCACTAGGGATAAAATAGCATGTGGTGAATGGGTTTGCCGTGCTCAAAAAGGGCATTGTTAACATATAAATTACTTCAGAGCATCTAACACTGTGTTTTTTTTTTCTTCTCTTTCTCCACCTCTCTCCCTCTCCCTCTCTCCATCTCTCTGTTAAACTCCCTGCAGATGAATTCAAAGCCTTCATGAAGCGCTTGCCCACTGACCGGTTCTTGAATGTGTCCACGATCGCCAAGTTCTGGTCAGCCGACTTGTCCCTCCAGAAGCGCTACACCCAGCTGGAGTCCAGCACTGCCCTGGTCCTGGGAAAAGCCCAGAAGATCGTCAGGAAACTGTTCACCCTGAGTAAACGCTGCCCCAACCAGCCTCGCATCAGTCTGCCCCGAGACAGGTAGCCCACTGGGACACGCTGACACAAAGCAAACTGAATGAAGGGAGTCATAATTTGTCATTACTGGGAGTTTAGGTGTCCGATTCACCACAGCTGCTGCAGGCTCTCGAACACTTTACCACAAGTGGGGCACCCTAGAAAAACTCAAAGCTATGTGTCTGGAAAGAGCTCAGCTTTGAATTTAGAAAAAATCCCCAAAAAGTCATACATACAGATTTGGCTTGTTTCTTGCTGTCAACAGATTATACAGCAGTAAATATGCATTACTGTGTAAAACTGCTGTGCATTATGACAGAGTACGAGCAGCACTACTCGATACTGTAGCTGTGCCCTGCAAACACAAGCACAAAGGGAAACATGAGGGAAGAAGACGTTAAGACTTAACTGACGAGACGTGACACTGGTGTGTTTACATGACAGAAAACAGGAAGCTGACGAGCAGAAGTTGGGGATCATCTGTGCATGCTAATGGCCTAAGGGAGCTTTTCAGATTCCCTCCCTTTTTGCTCATAAAAACATAAAACCAAACTCACATTCATCTGCCCCTCGTCTCCTTATATACACATGGCCCAATACGATTCAATACTTCAAACTTTATTTAGACATTTTGCCTTTTTTTGGAGGTTCAAATACAAATCTTATGTTATATGATTAATTCAGTTACATCTTTGCACTAAGATATGTTGTTGGCAGCTAAACCTATAGATATATGTATGAGCACTGAGCTTGGATGGCATTAAATACATAATTTAATGCAGAAGTGGAAACCAAGAGAAACTGTAAGTAGATACACTGAATTCCAGTATAAATGTGAATAAAGGTTCAAATACATATAATTTTTGACTTAAACAGACAGTAACAAATGAAAGTATTGAATTAGAAACCTGTCTTGCTTACAAATTTCCCGTGGCGCACAGGAAATAAGTTTTACACGTCCAGTTTCCAATTTTTAGCACAACTCTAGATACATTTTTTCAGAGGGCCATTTGTTCTATCTGAGACACCATATTCACTGAAGTGATTACTTAGAATAAGTCTGACAGGACAAGAAACACAAGCAGAAAATTATGACCAACAGTAAAAATATAATCCAAACTGCCGACTGTAAGTATCCATCAGTTTATAGATTACCTTGTGATTATAACAAATGATTATTAACAACATCATGGTTGCCCTCACTTTCATCTATCTTAAAATAACGTGGTGGCTAATTTAGCTAAATTCATCCATTGTTTTCCAAATGGATGCTCAGCTGACTCGTGTTGAGAAGCAGGTGTGAAGAGAGGGAGGGAAGCTGAGTAAGAGCGAGGGTGAACAGGAGAGAGATGTGATGGGTATGAGGGGGGGGGTCTTGTTACCAGTTTTTGGGGGCCATTGTGGGACGAGCTGCGTGGTTTTGTGGCACACTGTAATCAAGTCCTTTCCTCGACTGACAGCTCGGCACTTGTTTATAGACGACTTCAACTTCCCTGACAGTCCTCTTCCCCTCCCATCACTCCCCCCCCCTTCTTGCTTCTCTGCCTTGGTGTATTTCTCTACCTCTATTACCTTTGTGTCCCCTTGGTCTCTATGCCTCCCCCCACCCCACCCCGACACACACACACACACACACACACACACACGCAACCCTGCCACTCAGAGTCTTAACCCTTTCATATGAGCAACTGCAAGTTATCAGGCGCTGCTCAGCCGCAAAACCTCCCAATTTCCTTCTGCACAAATCCATTTGTTTTATCATCATTCATTTTTGTCTATTTACATAGGCCTGGGGGGAGGGAATTGTTGGAGCATTTGGGCAATGTTGTGTGAGATTTCCTGAACTTCGCCTGAGGATAGAATCTCTGCAGAGCCAATTTTCAGTCTGAAGTTGTTGCTACTGTTACCGCACCGAAGTGGATGGTAATTTATGTATTTCTGCATTTTCATCTGTATTGCAGTCGTACCAAACAGCCACCTTTCTATAAAAAAAAAAGAGGTGTCAAATTGCCATAGATAAATAATCCCATTTATAAGTAATATGAAGCAGACTGTGAATTCGATTTTCACCTGTGAAGATGGGATGCATATGAAATAAACAGGCTTGTTTTGTGGGTAAGGCACTCATCTCGAAAAAAAATTTGTCTTTGAATACTCCTCCTTAAACTTTACTTTTTTAACTCTGAGTACTTTCAAAGGAGAGATTTTGTCACCTCTTTAAGTTAAACGGGGAATGAAATAACAGAAGTAGCACATGAGGCATAAAATGGAAAAAAAAAAAAAAAACCATTAGCAGTAACACCTCGCAGTAAGGTACAGAGTTATTGGAGTTGTTACCAAGGAATGAAATCTGTGGAAGATTTCCAATGCCGAGACAAAAGCCAATCAAACAAAGATACAAAGTGAAACACAACATATATGGTGTATGTCGTATATTTCCATTTCATGTCGGCGTTCACTGTGACAGAATTAAAAGAAAAACATATGTTAAGAGGAGATGAATTGTCCATGCCACATTAAAATCAAATCACAACAGAAAAATGAAGAGGTGTCATGCGTTTCAGTGTTGTCCGGCAGAACAGCACTGATCTTGCCAATACTAAATGCAAAGCACGGTCAGTTTTCACGAAGAGGTGTGTTTTGAAATGGAGGCGCATTGTCCCCTGTCAAAATGGAACATAATCGATTGTCCAATTACAACTCGGATGTGGAAACCATGGTCTGTCAACACTGAGGATTCTGCCAGGATGATCCCTCTGAGAGTCTGATTGTACAGGCGGCTGCAGCGGAGTCCGATGCTTCAAACCGCAGACGGTCAATCACAAATGTGACTGAACGTTCGATCCACATCCCACAGGAAACCGTTTTTTAATGTGAAAGTCCGTCTGTCACAGCTGCCATCGGCTCATGCCGCCGATGATAAGCTCCGCCCAGTGTGTTCCAACCCTGAGCTGTCTGGACGCTACTCTCTACGTAGTCCACTATGTGCTGTGGTCTGTCCGCCATTTTGTCGTGCCGTCCGAATGTATAGCGTGAATTATCATATGTGATATAGTGGACTCAGTAAGGTGGTCACTAACCAAGCAATATATACCATCATGCATTGCGCTTGTGTGCAGGTGAGTAGTGGACACAACCCAGGACTCAAGGATGAATTGATTTAGATTTTGGTGGACAGAGGTCAAAGGTCACCGCAACCTCACAATCACGTTTTTGGCCATAAATGATTAATACGCTAATTTGACACAGTTCAACTCAAATGTCTCAGAGGATAAAATGAAGTGATGACATTTTATAACCGAAAAGGTCAGAGGTCAACTTCACTGTGACATCATAATGTTCTGCAAAAATACTTTTTTGGCCATTATTCAGTTGTGTAGCTCAGTAACTCGGCTTGTTGGTGGCGGCGTACAACCATGACGTGGTAATTGTAGTTCATTCTGCCGTGGATGATGCGTCTCATCGTTTTGTTATTCGCTTTATTTCTTTGTTGTATTTGTTTTTAATTTAAGCATTTTAAATACTCCACAAAAATCAGCAGCTAAGATTGAAAGAAACGATTAATTGAATGTTGTTATGTGTAACTTCATGGATGCCTGTGAATTGACACACCACAGCAATTCCTTAGTCTAACCCGATTAACTCTGAATCAGCTGCTGAGCGACACAAAAATAATAACGACTCATTAATTTCCAATTACTGAAATGTTATTTGAGACATTATTTCTGCCCCTTCCCCAGAAGTAAAAGTCGTGCATCATACTCAGAAACAATTAGTAATCTTTCACTGCATTTCACTGCATGATCCCCTTTCCATTACTTTAGAGTCACTGGGAAAATCCTCTCATTTTCTTGTGCATGTATCCTTAAAATTTAATGACGAACAATATCCATATCTCAAATATAAAAGCATTTATAATCTGCAGTAAACAAACACAAATGTTTGGTATATTTTGACATACATAAACATATATGTTTTGCCTGTTAGTGAGACATACATTTTACATATGGGCATATATCAGTGTAAAAAACTCAGTGTGATAATGTGTAACTAATTAGTATGTAATTAGTTTTGTGCCACTCAGTTGATTCAGCTTTAATCGGGAAGAGTTGTCAGTGTATTGATGTATCTGATCTAATACAGAGTGTTTCACTAACATATACTAAGTTTCAAGTAACGAATCATTATCAGTAACTGTTTTTACTGCTTCTATTAACATTAGCTGAGACATCACCATCAAGCCACATGAGATTTGAACCCGTTGGGCGAATGGGATGTGACAGATGCGTTTGCCCAGACACCACAGGAATTCAGAAAAACTCCAGTTCAGGAATACCGTATCTTCAATACACTTATCCAGCACGCACAGGAATCCTGCATGTACTGTCGTTAGTGTCACACCCATTATAAACTAACGTGTCACAGCCATAATCCAAACGACCACAATCACAGTGACAGCTCTGTCATTCCATGGCTGAAGTCACGGCTACAGACAGCCTCAGTCATCCTCAGCTGCAGCCGGTTACAGCTTAATAACACAGTATAGTGAGCCACGTTACCCTGGCTCCGCTAGTTTTCCTCTCTAGCTGCTGAGCCGGTCGCAGCTGAGGGTTGCACCAGCACACACGCTGTGGTCACCACCAAGGGGAGAGGGAGGGAGACAGATGTGAGGGAGATGACACAGGCACACAGAACCACAGTGGACCACAGCCTGCTCTGCTGGGCTGAACATGACACAGTGCTATCTGTATCTTTCCTTCTTTCTCTCTCTCTCTCTCTCTCGTGATGTCTCTCTTCGTCTCTCATTGATGTTTTTTTTTTTATTTCTTTCCACACTGAGCCACTGCTCCACTTTGTGCACTGAAAATGTCCCAGGTGACCTGATGGCCACTGATGATCAGACAGATTATAAATTGGATTATGTCAAAAGAAAGTTGATATCACATCACCGAGTCCCATACGCTGCTACACAGCCACATTAGCTTTTGCGACAGTCAAAGTTAGGCAGTCACAGTTCACACACAATCATTTCACAATAAAAGGCCAATGCATAGTTTCTGTGTATGCATGTCCACAAGCGTCTGCTTTTTGCAAATGCCATTATCTGCCCATGTCTGTTATGTTTTCACTTGTTGTTGTCATGGGGTATTGATTGTAGATTGAAAGTTACAGAAGTCCTGACGGCTGGTTTTAAGGCTCAGTTTCTGAATACAGGCTGTGTGCATTTCTCTGTGGACTGAGGCTTTGATACTTTCACAGTATTAATATAGAAACTAGACCTGATCTATAATCACACTACACATGGACATCTACCTTTTGTACAATATGGGACCTTTAAACAGTAACTGAACAGCTTCCTGAATCGTGATGTACAGGGCCTCACGTCTGACCACACCCAACCACACAGTGAGCTCTTTAAAGTTCAAACCAAAAACAGTTGTTACCTGCTCCGTCTTCTGTGTTGTACTGTTTACACAACCACATCACCGTGTTTTCTCTTTCCCCTCTGCAGGTCCGTTGGGTTTTGGTTGAGAAGGGCCCAGTCTCTGCTGTACTGCAACGAGCACGGAGTGCTGGGCTCCTTCTCTGAGGAGGTGAAGAGCTGCAGCTGCCCTGCGGAGCAACCCACCTGCCAGGGAGCCGTTCCCTGCATTGTGGGCACCTCCCCCACCTCCTGCTCCTCCTGTGCCATTGACAACGCAACCCGCTGTGGAGCCTGTCACCATGGCAACCTCCTTCATCTTGGTTCCTGCCAGCCGAGCATTGCCGCATCCCTGGACCACTATCTGAACTTTGACTTGGACATGCCTGATGCTGAGGTTCTCATAGCTTTCTCATATCTGTGTTTCATATACGGTCGTTAAACCTCTGTGGACCAATGATACAGTAGCTCTGGTCAGAGACACTGATACTGGTTTCTTTGTGCCTCGAGACAAACAGATGTCTAATATTAAAAGCACATAAAAAAATACCCCATAAATTGACAAACTAAATGTCTGTATTGTATTGTAGTTTGCTACAGTGCTGCAATCTTTGACAAAGACAAACATGAAATATGACGACCATATTTATTTATCTCTGTCACAATTTTCCCAGTTTCAGACTCAAAACATACTGGGAACGCAAAAGAAAGCACACAAGTTAACAGTAAAAGCCAAATCTGTACAATGAACACACCCAGCGGAGTTCGATCAAGACAAACCTGCAGGATTAGGTTCTTCTGTTTTTATAGTCAATTCCCTTTTCATAAAAGTTCAGTAAAAACGTTTCTATGACATTAATAGGTCATTCCACAAAGTTATACATAAAGGTCAGTTTACTCTTCATGAGTACTGCTCGTATAAAAAGGTTGTTTAATGTCTTCTGTAACTTCCTGACAATAGTAGTAGTTAGCATGGGTATAGAATAATATAATCAAAATATATAATATAACAAATGTATAAATACACCATAATATAACAACATTATACATATATATGTATATATATGCAGTACATTAAGTACCCGTATTTATCCTTCCTCAGGTGAAGTACCTGCTTCAGCGACTGGACAGCAGAATAGAGGTCCATGCCATCTACATCAGCAACGACGTCCGCCTGGGAAGTTGGTTCAATCCTGCCTGGAGGAAGAGGATGTTGCTGACACTCAAGAGTAACAAAAATAAGTCCAATCTCATCCACATGCTGATGGGCATTTCTTTCCAGATATGCTCGACTAAGAATTCAACATTGGAGCCCGTGCCTGCGGTTTACGTGAATCCTTTCGGCGGGAGTCACTCAGAGAGCTGGTTCATGCCAGTGACTCAGCCCGACTTCCCCGACTGGGAGAGAACTCGACTGGACGCCGTAGTCACGGCACAGTGCTACAACTGGACACTGTCTCTGGGCAGCAAATGGAAGTCCTTCTTTGAAACAGTGCACATCTACCTGCGAAGCCGCATTGTCACAGATGATCCAACAGTGAATGAAACTCTCTTCTATGAGCCGTTGGATTTGGATGACCAGACGTCCAACCTCGGGTACATGAAGATCAACACGCTGAAAGTGTTTGGATACAGCATGCACTTTGACCCTGAGGGCATCAAGGATCTGATTCTCCAGCTGGACTACCCCTACACGCAGGGGACACAGGACGCCGCGTTCCTGATGTTGTTGGAGATGAGAGACCGGATTAACCGGTTGTCTCCACCGGCGCCGCAGCCGCTAGATCTGTTTTCTTGCCTGTTGCGCCACCGGCTCAAGCTGTCGGCCGGAGAGGTGGCGCGCATCAAGGATTCTCTGCAGATCTTCAACTCCAAGCTTCCCAATGCTTCTCCTGAACCTGAGCTGGCCCAGCTGTGCAGCTAGCTGTCTAGCTTAGCACACAAGTCAGGTTCAGGAGTGATACTGCACTTGGAAAATGGAGTTGCTGCTTCAGGGACAACCCTAGACTGAGTAGGGGGAGGTCCTGCTGTGTTGGCTTTATGGACCCAAATTGTCAGGATTAATAGAACATCCACCTCTGATGGCTTTTCTTCCGGTCACTCTTGGCTGGTTTTCTGGTGTCACGTTTTTATCACAAGTTGCTACCAGAGAGTAGTGTCATTTTTGGCGGGAGAACAGCTGATGCTTGGACCCTCTTTCAGAGGCTCTACTGTACCAGCCCGGAGGCTTACGTTTGCTGTTACTGCCCTGCTATTGGCAAACTGTACGACTGGTTGAAGCCAAGTGACTCTGGTTTTGTGAATTGGAACCTCTGAGAGCCGATGTCATTAAGTATACCTGAGATCTCTACCTTGCAAAGATGAGGGCGATTTTGATATGTAAAGAGGAACTCTTAAGGGGGTCTTCAAAAACGAGTCAGCGGAAAAGGATTTCCCCTTTTCTACGCCTATTTTCTTTGCCTCTCGGGGGAAAGGGAAAATGGGATAATATTATATATGTGGTGAATGAGTTGTTATGTTATGCTTAACAGTTTAAAATTTGATAATCCTGAACCCTGTTACTGTCTTTGAATATTTCTTTTTAATCCCTGCCTTCCATTTTATCTGGCATTTGAACACTTGTAAGTATCTATGCTTAACATTTGAGTGAGAAGCCTGTTAGTGATGTTCTGTCCTTGGTGGTGTGTCTATACCAAAAGAAGGTGAACACATCAGCAAACTAAATGGCAAAATATCTTCAATGTTGAGTTCTTTTTTTGAGCTGAAAATCATTAAGAAATCTTCTGATGTGGTAACAAAAAGGTCTGCAGATACAAACGCTGTAAATAATGCTCCATCTAACCCCAGGTGTGGACAAGTGCACATTGCTTTTTAGATAACCGAGTGCAAAGACCAAAAAAATGTTTATAACAAAAACAAACTCATGCCTTATATGGAGATTCAATGTTAAGATAAGAAGCACATTTAGTTTTTGTGTTTGATTTCCCAGCGAAGGCTGTGTTGCTTTTTATATTTCAGTATTTCTACCAAGACAGAACAACAGACACATTCTCCAGAATACGTGGTAATGTAGCTTTTCCATGTAAATGCCAGTCACACTTTCTGCAGTTACTTGTTTTGATTTGATGTTGTGAAACTTTGAGTCACTATTCACAGTGCACACCAGTACTTGCATACTGTAATTGTTCTGCGAAATCCTTCTATCTCCAATCAGACAAAATCTAAGTAACTGATAGAACCTGTTTGATTTTATTATGCTTTTAACACAAGGTTTTCAATGTTTCGGTTTAGTCTCAGGTCAACGAAACTGGTTTGTTTGTTTGTTTGTTTGTTTGTTTGTTTGTTTGTTTGTTTGTTTGTTTGTTTGTTTGTTTGTGTTTCCGTTTGGGTTTTTTTTGTTGGGTTTATTTTTTTTCGTTTTTTACATGTGGGTTCAGCGTCAGCTGCCAGTTACCACAGCGACTGGACTTACAAGATTTCTACAGGGCAGTGATGGTACTCTTGAGAGCTCCTTAGCAGGATGATACTTGATATGATTTTAAATTTACTTCACTAATTTCTCACTGACAGTCAGTAAACCTTGTATGTCATTTTCAGCAGTTCTTCTGTGCTCAGCTTGCTTAAGTAAAAACAAAGTGGTTTATCTACCTGGCATCCTTTTCCTTGTTTCAACCCCTCACTGTTATCACATGTACAATGATGGAACATGTCGATATTCATATCTCTTCTACTGTCGTCGCCGTGTGAGAACCTAGTCCAAGTGTGTGCAGGTGGAGGGGGGGGGCGATGCAACCGACGTTTCACTGAGGGAAATGCTCTAATCAAAAAACAAGTGACCTCACGGTTTATGAAACGTCAAGTTCAAATTGAAGTTTAATGAGCGCAAAGTCGCAAAAAAACTCCCTGCCATGTAATTTGATGGGTAATTAATATTAACTGTCACTCTATTAGTTCATTTTTATAGACCTATATTTTTAATTAGGCAAACTAAATGCAGCTCCCAGGGCAGTAGTAATTGAGTTTGGTTTTGGCCTCAAGACGGATTATCTCCGACTGGTTTGACTTTGGACATGTTTCGATCTCGCCTGTTCCAGTCTTTGGTCTCATCACTGGCTGACTGATCTACTCTCAGTCATGTTCACACAGAGACATGCGCTGTTCTTTACTGTCATTTACATTATAGTATAGGTAACGGTCCTTAATGTTTCATGTTACAACCAAGCATCCTCATTGTAGTTGTGTAATTTTATGCATAAATGTGCGTAAAAAGATATTGTATCATACTTTCTTTTTTACTCTATCACTACCAATTTCATCATTTAACTGCAAGGTCACACAGAGAGCGCAGACTTCCACCAGGGCCAGTGTCAAGCAACGTACACCAGACTTCACAGAGAAAAAAATCCGGTTCATAGTTAATGATCCGGATCTGTCCCATGCCCCATCCCTCCACCAAGTGCAAATCGGTTCTGAAATCTTTGCGTAATCGTGCTGACAAGCAAACCAACAGATACGGGTGAAAACATAACTTCCTTGGCGGAGGTAACAACTTGATCAAAAGGACGGAAATGATTCAAGTTCTGACTCGTTTTCCTGTTTATTGGATCCTCCTAGCTGAACTTGATGCAAGCACGTCAGAGGCTGCAGTTGAATTTTACTGTGTCATACTGACCATAAAGTTGAATCCACACCTTTCTTAAACAGTTTCAACAAAATACTGAACATTATAGACTTCATGAAGTGCAGGTGGTTTTGGATCATTGTGATGACGAAAACATTGCACACTATTATGCACGGACACATGATGACCATAGGATCTCTCAATTCAAAAGTAAAATCAACATAAAAGAGACATCATCTTCTCCCGGCAGTATATTTGAGCTGCTGTATTCACTCAGTGCATCATGGGGATCACCCGGTGATGATGATGGGATGACAGTACTGTGTGTGATTAGCCGTGATTGTCACAGTCTCGAACACGCTCACCTGTAATGTATGATGTTCTGAAACTACCCTGTTTTCTAGGTACGCCAACAGTGCACCAGGCAAGGTCATGGAAATACCAAAATGCACTTGGCTCACCTCTGGCACACTGAGCTGGGTGCACTAGACTGTGAACTGTGGCAGAATGCTGGATTCATGAAAATAGAGAGTAAAGTGGGTTTCAATCCATCTGCTTTGATGTGCATTTTGAATTTGAGCATAAAAGCACATGGTGAAAACAACAGAAACTGGGATAACAATCAACAAAAGCTTTTTATTTCTTATAGGATTCAGCCTTTAACATTAGTGGGTTTATCTCTCCCTCGGGCGTAAGTCAATGCATAAAAACCTGACTTTCCCGCCAGTCCAGCCTCCGCTTCCCATGATAGCCTTAAAAGGCAGCACCCATACTCACAGAATCTGGAGTTCAATTCTGTGGCTATCGTCTTTACGCTTGGCAATAAAAACAAACCGCCACGAAACAGACGTCGCTCACAGTGATGGACCCACAGAGAACTATCATCTGAATGTGCAGCTCTCTTCAGCTTTACCAAACTGTATAACCAAAACCAGAAATAGAGCTAAAAGAGAATGAATATTTAACTTACATTTTTCAGGAAGCCAAAAAATGGTTGTACAAATACATAGCTGTTTACATGTTCACCATATCAGCTCAACATAAAAGGTGATGTAGTAATATCTCGTTTACAGCTTTTCCCCAGCCCAAAGATTTGCCAAAAGAAATCAGTTCCTGCAGGTTTGATAAATGCAACAGTCATTCACATTCGCAGTTCTCCCTTAAAAGCATTTGTAATAAGCAGAGAGGTGCACTTTGCAAACATTTCCTAAAATAAGTGACTTTTCCTCATGCACTTGTGTCATACTTCCAGCACATGTGCCTGGAACAGAATGTGTCACATCTGCAAATGAAAAGGACACAGCAAAAGCTTCAGTAAATCTGGCCCCTCGGTACGTTGCCATAAAATGGATGCATAAACTTCCAATTACCCTCTGCCCCTCATAATAAGATGAATGCCTTCTAATATACGGAGTGCAGTGTTTTTTTGTAAGATGAAAAGCCAATTTCCTGGGTTGTCAGGGAGCAAACAAGAACCAAACGCACACTGTCACATTACATCAGGCTGCTGGTTTATCTGCTGGGGAGAGCAAGAGAGGAACGGAGAGAGAGACAGGAAGAGTGGCAGGGACAGGGGGGACAGGGAGACAGGGGGGAGAGAGCGCTTCGTTGGCCAGCTTGAGCTGCCAGCGTTTTTTTTTTTTTTTTTTTCTACCCCCATAATGAGGTGGGGAAGGAGTCACTCTGCATTGGGTTAATAAACAGTTATTCATCTTCAGAATGGCACCCGGGAAACAGGAGCGGGTGTGCCCTTGGGCTAATCTTCAGGCCAATGGAAGACAGCCAATTCATCAGAGTACCATTCAGACTGCATCCTACAAACTTTCTGGACCTCCCAAAGAAGCGAAGGGAAGGGAGAGAAAATGAGAGTGATTGAAGAGGGAATAGATGACATAGAGGGAGAGATGGAGGGACGATAAGGTTGAGAGAAAGTGGAAAGGAGAGGAAAGGTGAGAGGGGTTGGGCTGCTAGTCGCGGAGTGATTTATGATGTTTAGAAAGTAAGACTGTTTGAATTAATGAGGTAGAATTGGTGAAATCGACTGGCACCCGAGCATGTGTGTGTGTGTGTGTGTGCAGACTCTGTACCTGTAGGTCATTTGACATAGTCATCAATAACAGTGCAGATTTCGGGGGTTTGAAATTACTTTCAAATTACACTATTACAAATGTATCCAGAGGAATGATTCATGTTTGGAGACGGTGTGAGAGGGAGACGGACATTTAAATGCAAAGTTAGAGATTGTTTGACCTTGACTGAAAGCGGCAGAAGCAAAGTTGTTCTTATCTTTAGGTGGTTGATTATAACTGTATCAACAGTGGCATCATGGCTGGCAAATCTAAAATTCAGGACTTATAGACCTTGTCAGTTTCACGACAGCTTGCAACAAAAAAAAAAAGACCCCAAAATAAATTATTCCTCATATTGCTTTCCAAGACTCGCTAGGCAAACTCATTCATTACCTCTGACCAAGAATAGACAAGGTCACATTACAAATTCACCAGTATCGCAGCAGACTTTTTTTTCTTTGTCAGCATTTTGAAGACATGAAAACTGCTTGTTAGCCCTGGCAGTGTTACAGTATGTCCTTACACCCCGACTCTATTTAATAAGAGATGGTCAAATAAATCATATCAGCACTCTTTCTTCCCACATATGTGGCATATTTTTAGAGGTTGTACTCCATTTTTCAAGCACATAACCTACAAGCAAACAACTTTCAAAGTGACAAGAGTTCGAACACCACCAGTGTTAATTTTGTTAGCAAAAACTATGACAAAAATATTTGGAAATTATACAAACTAAATAAAAAGTAACCTTTGTTGATGTACAAACAAAGCTATTATGTGAAAGACAGATGGACAAACTAAATCTTTTAATGTTTTAATGCTGACCTGATTAGTGAAAGAGTTTCTCAGCTACCCAGAGGTTGATTTAGCTGCTTGACCTGTTAGCTAATGTTAGCTAATGTAAGCTAGTGTTACTGGGTCTTGGGAGGAAAAAAAGTGACAGTAAATGCATCTATAGTCTCACTGAAAATTAGCCAACAACACAGGTGGGGCAAACCCTGAAGAGGCAGGTCAGCATGCTAACATTTATAAACACATTACAGTAAAGGAGCTATTTGTAAGTTCTGCTATTGCTACATAGCTAACATTAGCATTAACAGCTGTTTACTTACCACTAAACTAAAAGAAGCATTGCGAGTTCAGCATCAACCTTCATTCCTTTACTCATCAGGAGCTGTCTCCAGAGGTAGAAAGCAACACCAATGTTAACTCTTTTTTCTTTTCTTCCAGTGAAGTTAGCATGCTAACCAGCTAGCCCCAGCCTGTCCTAAAAGGACAGGTTTGCATTAACTTCTTAGCCGCTCCCCTTCAGCTCAACAGAAAAGTACTGAAGTAGTGAATAGTGACAAGCAGTTCCTTCAAAGGACAAACACTAAAACTCAAAATCAGATGCCAAAATTAACACCACAATGTTCCTCCTTGGCTTCCTTCTCTTGGATTTATCCACGACTTCACCAGCAATGGAGCAGAACAAGCACAGACTTGAAGGTTTATTTTCCACTCACACCCACTTAAGAAAGATCGAACCCTATGCTGTCCTGCCCTGGTAGCAAATCTATTTCAACCTGAAATATGTTCAGTTACAGAAGGTGTCTCATAATGCAGTCTCATGCTGTGTATAATTTTCTAAAGTAATTTAGTGGCTGAAACATATCAAGCTTGGCTGTGCATTTGGC